CGGCTCTGACGGCCGGGGCTGCGCTTCACTCGCTCGCTGGAAGGAAGCCAGGCCCCCGTGCTGCAAGAGCTCCATCTCCATATGAAAACCCACCCAGCGACCAGCCCAGAGGGCGGCCAGCCCTTGAATTGAAGCAAGGGAAGCTCCAGCAGGGTCCATCATCTGGGAGAGTGGATTAAAGCCGCCAGTTCCTGTAAGGGCCTGACCGAGCATGCTGGGACTCCTGCATGCAGCTGCATCACTCCCCTGCGAAGCGGGGCTGTGCTTTGAGCCCCCGGGACGTGGGGGCAGCAGAGCCACAGAGATGCCTCGGCAGCCTTCAAAGTCCCACGAGGCACTTGTGGATGCTGTCAGGGAGCCGGTGCTCTTCCCCATGCAGCCCTAGTGACTCGGTCCAGGATCACAGCCGAGGGACACGGCCGGCTCGGGAACGGTCCCCACTCCCCCACCTCCTGCAAGGGGTGGTGTGGCTGGCGGGAAAGGGGACGTGGATCACCGATACTCGCTTCCCCAGCGTGTCCTGCTAACGCATGGATGGATCACCTGTGGAGTCAGGCTCGCTGTGACAGCTCCCCCAGACACAGTCACACAGGGTGCATTTACATGTGCACTTTAATGCGCGTTAGCCTATTTTAATGCACATTAAAGTGTCACTAAAAAAACCGTGCTTTTATGTAATGCGCATCAGGACAGGCTAATGCCCACTTCCTTAGTATCTCGCAACACAGTAACTAGATTTAACGTGCATTAACTAAACCATGTTACTGCATGTGTAGACATGCCCACCCACAATCTGGGAGCTTTTGTCTGGAGTCACCAGGGAAGACCTAGCTTCAGACAGGGTCCAGGTGAGTCCTGGGACCACACAGTGCTCATCGGTGTGGTCCCAGGTGGAGGCACTGAGCTGGCCCCTGCCTCAAGCTGGACCCCGCTGACCCCACACGGAGCCCATGGCCAGGGCTGGCAGGATCTGAATCCCATGCACCAGCACAGCCACTGCAAGGCGCGTGGCCCTGTCTCCAGGATGGGTGGGCTCCACAGAGCCAGGAGGTGCCAGCCAGCTCCTCACACTGCTACACTGGGATCGGGTACCCCCGGCCGGGTGGGCAGGGGGGCCACGAAGCCCCAGGGCCTTGGCTCTGCTCTCGGGAAGCAACTGGTGGAGGAGGAATTGGCTTGTGTTGCCAAACCGTCCCTGGCTGCTCTGACCCCCAGCTCCCTCCCAGATCCAGCATCCCTCCAGGCCCATGCAGGGACCTCCCTCATTAAGGCTCAGTTAATGAGCACTAATGGTGGGGGGGCGGGGGAGGTGGACTGGATCCCAGCTCTGCTGCCCATGGAGTGGCTTGGGGCTGCATGCACCCAGGAGGAAGGCGTGGGCCAACTTCCCTGCTGGGGGCCAGAGGCAAGTGGGCCGTGGCCT